CCGAATAATTTCGGTCCGCGAACGCCCAGCGCGAAGGCCTTCAATTATCGCCGCTCTTCGATTATACTCTGCATTCGATCTTATCTGTTCGGACATTTTGAGGTTATGCGCACTTACTACAAACATCTGACTTGCCCGAACATCAACAGTGACCTACCACCGAAGTCAAATGAGGCGGGAAATTCAAATTGAAATTTGTCCGGATTTTGATGGCGGACCCTGTATAATTATAATGCGAATAAGGGGAAACATCAACATATTTTTCTTTTTCTCTTATCTTTATTATTCATTTACTTTTTTTTTCATTGTCATTGGAAGCGTTTATACATTGAATACATATCTATACATCTGAAAATATATGACGTCTCATTGTCCGCATCCGTCGTCTTAGCTTCCCGGTGCAATATTTTGCTCCCGGCTGCATCGTTATGGCACTGCGAATACTAGCCTCTCGTAGATATGACACTCACGTAGATATGACTTGCTCTGAAAACAAAAATATGTTTATTACATATATATAATATATCATATACTAAAAGAACACTTGCACAAATTTTTAGGATGAGTTCTACACATCCAAACAAGGCAAAAATGTCATATACACATATGTCCAGACATATATTTGGTTTGTGAGTTATAATAGATTAAATATGTTATATCTATAATACATATAAATTAGATATATTAATAAATAAATTGAAAATATTTCAAAAGCCGACGAAATATTTTGCGTGAAATGTAGTATAATATTAAGTGAAATGTAGTATAATATTAAGTGAAATGTAGTATAATATTAAGTGAGGAGTTCGTGGGGCGTAAATTCGCGTCGCGTGTCGATATCGAAACAATGGGCAAAAAATGTAAATTTATCTCTTTCCATCAATCGATAACTGTCGTCGTTCGTCACTGAGCGCCCAGTGATTATGGCTCCGAAATATACGGGACCTTCAAGGAGGTCACACCTACTCGCGCGCATTGCACGCTCTTCCAGATGTTGTCATTACGCCTTGAGTCGGCGAGCGGCACACGCACTCACGGAGTACGTGTGTCGGTGTGTTATTTCTCACATTTCCATCGATTGATTAAAACATTTCGTTGGTTCTTGAACTATCTAGTCGGAAACTCTCGTCGGTGTCGCGTTAGTTAACGTACATTTTTCCGATTAAATCGTATCTGCGCGAGTGTCAGTGTCAGTGTCAGTGCCATGACGGAGCAACCAGGTTGCTGGGTCGAGAAGGCAGGATGAAAGACAAGAACGCTGCGGGCAGCGATTACTTCATATATTTTAAGGTATGATAAATACATTTATTATACAAGAAATTTCTGTTTTTTTCGACAAGTGTTTGACGAATTTATTAAGAATAAAAAATACTCGAGTCGAAATTTAGGCCGGAATTTATAGTTTATTATTTTACGAATAATAATAGCTTCATGAGTTTCAGATTATTCGTCAATCTGTACATATGCTTGTATCCATTTTATTGTTTCATACAAAAAAACATGTTTACGTCTAATAATGCACTTTGATTCACGAGTTGTTGTTTATATTTACTAGCGCTCTATTTTATTTAGGATATTTCGTTTATTTTCGTTTGCTTGTTATTGTATGAGATCGAAATTTCAATTTATTTATCGGTAAACAGCATTATAGGACAACTAACTGTTGTCTTTGCTTTTGCAGTTCTGTTCATATTAGCTCTTTTAAGAGCTTCGAATCTCATCGAAACTTCCAACGTAAAAAAAAGAAAATAATTAGAAAGAGATGAGATTTAAGTGTTATTTTTTCCCCTTTTACCCATTAATTTTTATTTAATTATTTGATATTGTCTCAACTGCTCTATTTGTAACTGGGAAAATTGTATAATCGATACATCGTTGGCTAAAATTGAGGATAAAGATTTTATTTGATTATTTGATATTTGCTTGTCTCAACTGCTCTACTTGCAATTGGGAAAATTACATTATTGATAAATTGTTGGCTAAAATTGAGGAAAAAGATTAAGTTGTTTTTATGTTTTTTTAAGTGACATTTTGAAATAATCGAATATTGAATAATTCTTGAACGAATGCTTCGAGCTTTTTCAACAAGCAGTTATTTGCAGCATCAAGGTAGGACTAGTCTGTACAACGTTATATCGAGATTTTCCATTGATCCTTCAAGATCGACAGAACTTGCAGGCTCGATGTGGAATCGAAATTTCGACTCGGGATATGTCAATACCCGTCGACGCGAGTTTGCGAGAACAGAACAGACAAAGCCGTTGAGCTGTGATAGATGCGTGCTACGTGATAACACACCATCTTTCTTCCATTACGATGCACAAAGAGATTCGATGATTCGACGATCGAGTCTATCGGCTAGTAGCGACGCGCAGCAGACTCATTAGTATCTATTATCGACGCATATCAGATGTATACCGGATAATTCCGAGCCGACTCGGTCGACTACCGATGATTGATCGATTGCGAGCGTTATCGCGGTTGACAGGTATATTGGATTAATATCGGACGTAAGACTGATAGACACACTTCGCGGATCGAATACGCGCTTACGCCCTTATGGACTGACGGATTTTAGCCGGGTGGTATGCGCGCGGGAGTTGCATCGCGGCCTGATAGCTCCATCGTCGGGATTAATGAGGTCGCGCTTGAGGCCGAAAAGAGAACACTTGCTGCTTCGTGATCTCTATATTCGAATGCGTGATTATAATTGCGCGCACAGAAAAGCATCAAATTAATCATGGTGTCGTGAGCATAAGCGCGACGTGTGTCGCGAAGTATAAATTTACGATGACGAGCACGCTTCGAGGGCGGCTGCTCGAGGGAAGTCATCGTGGATACGCGATATCTCTCCCTTCAGGAGGTCTTTTCCTTTCGTCGGTATCTCGCATTCTTATTGGTCGAGAATGACGACGACGAATGAGGAGACTCTTAACTCGTTCCGTTTACATCCTCCTGTGTGGAAAACTCGTTGAAATTTAACTGCAGCTAGACTAGAAATTCATACGCGCACGACGTCGAATATATTTACGGATGTTGAACGTAAGTCGTGCGTTGAAGCTCTGAAGTATCTTTGTGCACTGCAATTTTCATGCGGTTCGCTTCACAAGATCGTGGAGCGGCACTGTGACGATAAAATCTTGAAATTATCGATCTGACAAATGCGACCGCTCGGACTCGTTAGGTCTTATTACACCGGGAAAGAAACGTAGCGATAAAAAGACAAAGAGAACGGGACGAAAGATGGAAAGATTGGGAGAATGAATAGGGGGTGGGAGAAAGACGAAGGGAAAGATGGGAGGAGAAGGCGCGGTTAGATGAAATCAATAAGTACGCCGATATCGAGATATTTTTCAGTCACCGTGTCTGCAATGGAGGGGTTATGAAATATTTGACCGAAATACCAGCTACAGGATCGGAATAAATTTCATGTTCTGCGAAATAAACGGAATATTTCGTGGATCCAAATGGCGGAACGAACGATTGCGGTGTATTATTCTGCTATACGTATCGCACGGCTTTTGTTTTAACTTATAAAGTCCGCTCGAGCGTATCATTTTTCGATAACCTCATGGCTGAATATCGATACCGCGGCCAGTGGGGATTTTTCTTATGCATTAAGAATCTCGCCTCGGAAACACACAGGACGTAAAATCCACACGTGCTGGATCAGAT